GGGGTTTTGTGTGTTTTGGGGGGAAGCGGGAGGGAAAAATGTCTCGCCCTCTCCCTCTGAACCCGCCGTTCCTACCTCCGACTTACGGGGTGCTGAAGTCCCTGCTGGAAAACCCGCTCAAGCTGCCGCTGACCCACGAAGACGGTGAGACGCAGAAAGTTGCTTTGCTAGCGGGGGTAACTCGTCCCTAGCCAGCGCCTGCATGGCAGGCTGGGTCTCCAGTGCCGAGTTGCCCTGCTGAAGCTGCCCCATAAATTGCCGCTTGAGAGTTCTGCATCGTTGGAAGAGCAGAGCCAAGTAGGAAAAGCAGAGGAACCTTCCTAGCGGTCAGCTGTGAACCTCTGCAGCTTCTTTTCCCAGGAGATTGTCACTTCTAGTTTTTGAGAGCAAGTCAGTAGAATATGAATGATCATGGCATGGCTACACATGATCAATGCGCTGTTGAAAAACAGCTCTCTTGAATCAGTGCAGAACAATTGATAGCTCAGCTAAGCGGTGGGCAATATACTGGAGATCTTCTGAAAATGAACACAGTTCCATCTGTACTTAAGACAGACTTATTAGGAAGAAGCAGACAGCACAGTGTTCCAAATGTCCTTCCAGAAATGAGTGTATGTTCTGGGTGACTGAAGTTGGAACATCTTTTTCGTTTGGTGGGGATTTTGCTTCCTGACTTTGCTCCCCTTTTAAAAAAAAATATGTTTAAAACTTATTTGGGTGAATGGTAACGAATAAGAATTTTAAAGCTGAAACGTTGCAATGTACAGTTCTGGGGAGGATAAGACAATGCAATCATAATTTTTATCAAGTGTGGCTTTATTACAAAAGCATGTGTTATTTCGAAAACATACATCCTGCAATATCTACTGATCTTGTTCTTAAAGGGAATATATCTGGGGGAAACACTGTAATAATTTAGACTAGCAAATCAAGGGGCTACATTTAAAAAAAAAATAGTGACCTCACAGTGTCTTGTTCACTTTATTAGGTGTTTAAGAGCATTTTCCAAATTAACGGTGAATAAAAGCACTTTGTTTTACCATTAATAGGCAGTTTAGGTTCTTAATTTTAGTCGGCATTTTTTGTAATTTATTTGCCTGTTTTTTACATCTCTTGAGTATATTTATCCTAACATATGTTTACAATAATGGTCAAAATATGCAGCAGAAAATGAAATAGCTAAACATTATTTTTAATGATGATAAAAATACTGTGATGTTTATCACTTCTTATGGGCCCAATTCTGCAACCTCAAAGCAAGCAAAACAACTTAAGCTCAATGGCTGAGCTGTTTAAAGTCTGCAGGGTTGGGCCCTTTTATTTAATAATGTTAAAGTATTTTGTTTAATAATGTTAAAATAAAAGTGATCCTTTCCAATACAATAAAATATCTGGCAGCATCTTCTCCGTAACTTGCTTTGTCGATTAGCACGGACTCTCTCAAGAAATCTGTAAGCCTTTATCAAAGTGCACATTGAATGCTGCTGAATTGTCAATTAAAAATAGAACCGATGAAAATGTGCATACATACACAGTCATTTAAAAGTCAACCCTTTAATTCTGTGCCATGTGAAAGGAATCCAAGGACTTATATCTGTGGTGAGATATTTAAAAAAGTGGAAAAATATTTTCTTGAAAATAATAATTATGAACTACTCAACCCTTATAACTTTACTATGCTTTTTTTTATAAGCATTTGGTAAAGAAAAAGACAAAGAAAAGAAGCTAGACGATGACAGCACCAGCGCCTCAGTCCCACAATCTGCTTTTTTGGGGCCAACGCTATGGGACAAGACGCTGCCATATGATGGAGATACTTTCCAGTTGGAATACATGGACCTGGAAGAATTCCTCTCAGAAAATGGAATTCCGCCCAGCCCGGCCCAGCATGACCACAGTCCACACCAGCCAAATCTCCAGCAAGCTACCTCAGCAGCACCCTCTGTCATGGACCTCAGCAACAGGGCCTCTACATCAGTGCATCCAGGCATGGTGTCTCAAAACTGCATGCAGAGCCCAGTCAGACCAGGTAACTCACTTGCAAGATCTGCCCTAGAGGTTCTTAAATAACCACACAAACAAAGAAAGTAAATTATTTCTCACTACGTGATTGACACAGGCAGCATAGCGAAGTTTCCAACATGAAGCGCGTCTTTGGTAGGGTCAGTAGTAATAATAATTGATAATCTGGAAAAATGCTAACCAGCTCCGCAGGGATTTTTGCTTATATTGTGTCAATAACTTGTGGAAATTCCATGGAAAATTGCCTGTTGTCTTTCCCCTGCTGGTAACCTAGCTATTTATCAGGCTAAAAATACAAACAGAAGTAAAAATAGTAATGCACAGATGCCACAGTGTGAAATGAACAGGGAAAGGAAAAAGGAGAGAGACCGCGAAAGAGAATTTATACAGTCAACAGGACCACTGAGACAGAAGAGAATTCAGGTCCCAGCTGGCATTTCAGTGGAAATGGTAGGGAAGAGGGTCCTTGTCTGTAACATTGCCCATATCATTGTATGTCCTGTATCCTCCTGTGATAATCCAGTCAAAAAGTGCACACAATAAAAAATGGACAAATAATAGTTAAAGAAATAAAACACAAACATTTGCGGCAGATTCTGATCTGTCACTCTAGTGTAGACCCAGAGCGTAATTACTGACTTCAGCTGAGTTATACGAGACTCAGACCTACATAGGAACAGCCATACTGGGTCAGACCAATTGTCCATCTAGCCCAGTATCCTGTCTTCCAATGCCAGATGCTTCAGATGGAATGAACAGAACAGGCAATCATTGAGTGATTCACCCCATCTCATCCACTCCCAGCTTCTGGCAAAAAGAGGCTAGGGACACTCAAGAGCATAGGGTTGCATGCCTGCCTATCCTGGCTAATAGACATTGATGGATTGGCCCTCCATGAATTTATCTAATTCTGCCCTAAGCAAAGGGCAGAGAAATAAACACCTTAAACTGGATTTTGACAGTAGAGCCTAATTTAAAACCATTGTATGTCAAAGGGGAATTTTTCACTGAGTTCAGGGGGCTTAAATCAGACCCTTAGTATTAATAATGGAGTTACCCCAATGTGTCAAGTCAGAGGTGGGAACCTGATGCATGATACCAACAGTTTGGAGGAAATGGAGCAATAAGAAGCCTTCTGATTCAAATAAAGTGACATAGTCTTGCTAAACTTGGATTGTGACCCTACACTCACACCATTTGAGAGAGCAAAGTAAGCTGCAGAGAACAGGAAATCTCTCCTCTCCTCCCTGCTTGATCACTTGCCATGCACAGCATGTATGTGCTATTGTCAGAGCCATCTGAGAGTCAAAATAAATACACAGAATGATAGTAGTTAGGGAGGAAAAATAATGTGCCAAAACCACATGAATTGCCAAATTAATTTCTTATTTTTTTTTTAAATAAGGCTGTGAACGGTGTTTGGGGCCCAAGTTGGAAAGAGCACAATATGGTGTTCTGTGACTTTCATTTACTTGCTTTCTCACTGGCTAGTCCTTGTGAGACTGTTTACACTTACTCCCACCTCAGTTTTAAGGGATCTCGGAGTTCAGAATTAACAGTAATTTTTACCATTCTCCAACATTAAATAACGTTTAGAATTGGCAAGAGGAAAAACACCCCTACTTTTCTTGATATATTTTAATAAGCCATTGTGCATACAAAATGTGTTCATTCTCTCTCTTCTCCCCCCCCCCCCCCATAAAGAAGTGATTATCCTTTGCGATTCTTTTTTCAGGAGCCCCTGAAAGAGAGCCAGCCTTTTAATGATCACCTGTCAGAATTTATTTGTAATCTATGTTATGGGTCAGCTGTTTGCATGTTTTTTTGCAGGCCGTTGAGTTTGAGTGTTTTTCCTGAGCTGATGAAGTGGGTTTTACTCACAAAAGCTCCTGACCTATTACATTTGTTAATCTCTAAGGTGCCACAGGACTGCTCATAAATGCAGTTATTGATACATATACATATTTTTTTACTGTTGTAAAATAAATCCAGGTCTCTTAGGGTGTGTCTAGACTACAGGGATTTTTCGAAAAAAGTGGCCTTTTTTCTAGATCTGCATCTAGACTGCTGATGCGTTCTTTCGAAAGTAAATCGAAAGAACGCAGCAGTTTTTTGACCACAGAAAACCTCGTTTTACAAGGAATAACGCCTTTTTTCAAAAGTGCTCTTTCGAAAAAAGGCGCTATGTAATGCAAAGTGTGCTTTTTCGAAAGAGAGCATCCAGGCTGCCTGAGTGCTGTCTTTTGAAAAAGCGGCTTGCTTTTTTCGAAAGTATTGGTTGTAGTCTAGATGCTCTTTTTCAAAAGTATCTTTCGAAAGAAGCTTGCAGTCGAGATATAGCCTTAGGGAAAAGACGGCGAGGAAGAAGAGGAACTAGCTGTGATCAGAGTTTTCACAATTCCTTCTATTGCCTAACAATAATGTAGTTTATTTTTCTCTAGATGAGGAGCAGAGTTTGTCTGTTAGTCACAATATTTTTTTTCTGTTCTATAACCTGGATGCAGAGAAAAACCAAATACATTTGTAAGCATTAATTTTCTGAGAGACAATGCAAATACATTCTAACCTACATCGTTTTATAAACATCTCTAGTCTCGCATGCTTTGTTTTGAGGGAACATCCACAATCCAACATGGATTTCAGTGTTTGATCTACTTTTAAAATCAGATTACAAATATATTTCAAAAATATAAAACTCTTTGTATTTAAAAAATAGCAGTTAAACCTACTATGTGAAGATTTCTCTCAAAACATGACATTCGTTTAGAAGATAGTGAGCTGCAGCTGATAATGTAAAAACAGCATTAGAATGAAGGCATGACATTTACACATTACATGTGGACTTTATTGTCTGGTTTTAAAATTGTACCTTGAGAAAAGTTTTGGTTTGATAGTTGTGGACTCCCTTGTCTTTTCGTTATTAAAAGGACTTCTGCTTGTTGTCATGATTTATTTTCTTATGCTAAGATACAGGAGTAATTAGAATGACAAAAAAAGTATTACAGTACCAATCAAATGCAGTTCAGATGGTCTTATTAATGCTGGTAAAACGAAGATGCCAGGGTGATCAGTCTATCTATCGCACGTATAATAAAGGTTTGTAGTGCTTTGTGTTCTGAATGTCATCTTGCTTAATGTTGTTAGTGCCGCCTATCTTGCAGTGTGGCATTTAATATATCTATAGGACCAAATCTTGCTCACCTCCTGTCAGATGGTTTGAATGGGTCTGCTCTCATGAGTAAGACTAGCAGAATTTGGCCCCATAGTATGTGATGCGTCAGTGCTAAAATATGTGTATGCATACATGTCAGTACTGTGGGGAGGCCATATATATATGTTTGTGTAAGTGGGACAGAGACTGAGACACGTATGTTTATAAGATTCATATACTAGCAACATAAAATGCATTGTTGACATTATAATAGTAAATATCACATGTGTACTGAAAATGTAACCATTGTTTGAATGAGACAATTAGATCCTAAATTCTAACATATTTACAACTACTGGAAATGATCCAGAAACTTGCATTGACATTCGCCAGCAAACTTAGTTGAGCTCAGCAGAGCTAATCTGACCTTCACTATAAATACAACATTACAAAATTGTAACAGATTGGCTTTCCTTAAGAAAAAAATGTTCCCTTTTTTTTTTTTTTTTTGTATTGTATGTCTTTACCTTGTGGTTGACAGAAAGACAGTGATTCCATTTGTCATTTGTTCTCTGGGTGAAGAATGAATGAAATAATACCATCCAGGAATGTATGTGGAGACTCTACATATAGGGTTTACCATTTGTATTTGGATCAAGAGCTATCCAGAATAGTGAGCGCTGCAAGATTAGATTCTGGTTGTGATTTTGTTTAATGATGAGGCATTGAGAGTGTTCAATTCACCAACACAACGTGTAGATGGACTTGGAAATATTTTCACTTTGCTGTAAGGGGCACTTAACCTCTGATTAGTTGGTTTAAATCAATAATTATCTTAAGGAATACTGTTGCTGCCATGTTAGCGAACAGGTTACTTAAAAAAAAAAATCTATCAACACATTTTGTTGATGCTTCATATTATGTGTGTTTCCAACTTGTGTTGTCTTTGTTCTGCAGTAGGAACGCAGACTTGGATTTGGCTGTGGAGTTCTTTAAAGAATGTTTAACTGCACTTTGCTGTGTTTGGGGGGAGAATGTTGAAGGCAGTACTTTGCTGTCATCAGAGGATACCTGGTTGGTGATCACTAGCATCAGTTTAAAATCTGGCTTTTTGTATTTCATATTTATAATTTAAATAGATAGGACAGCTGTCATGAGGGGTCTACAGAAAGTGGGTAGGGCCATATGGGGCCCAAGTGGAAGCTGAGGTAGGAAGAATTTCCTTACATTTTTGCTCACTGAGTGTTTGTATAGAGCAGGAATTGAGTGCTGTCATGTACAATGCATGTCATAACTCTGCCTCTTTACTTGCCAAATAGATACTGAATTGTAATGATAGAAATGGGTTACTATGGGGAAATTTAAAGTTCTGTCTCTTATCTGTCTGGTTCCAGTCCTAAGGACACCAGGCAAATAGATACAGTCTTTCGCTTGATGCATCTAATCTCTTGACACCATATATGGAGTGACTTAAGCAGTGGCCTAGTTCAAGAAGGGATGTGTTAAAACACCCTTTAAATCTGGTTTGCCCTTTACCTCCCATATATCTTAATATTCTCCCTGTCTTCCAGAACAGCTTTTCCAATCCACGGACTTGCATATTCCCAGCAGCCAGATAAAAACACAAGCTCCTCTTTAGCTGTAATGCTTGCTTAGAAGCAATTACGAGGCGCGTGGTCCATATCATGATGAACCCCCTTGCTGAGAGGCTGAGGACACCACCTCCAGTGCCCACCTCCCCCTGCATTTTTTTGAACCTGGGACTGCCACGTGGCAGCAGGCCCGGCTTGAGTGCTGCTTTTTCACATTGTCTCCCATGAAGGCTGGGAAGGGCTGTTGCCTGCAGGACCATGTGT